GCTCCTATAACTTACGTAAGGCGTATGTTACTGGCTTGATTGAAATTGAAGAAACGAACACTATTAAAAGAGTTAAGCATGAAAGAAATCCTCGAAGCAGAGTGCATACATACTATTATTTTTTAGGGGTTGGTGGTAATAGAATTTCGGTTTGCCAAAAATGCTTTAGATTTACGTTATCTGAGGCAGAACAACTCATAAAAACGGTTGCGAAAGCAAAACTTGAAGGATGTAGTGTCAGTGGAGATTTGCGCGGAAAGCATACGTGCTCTAGAAAACTTTCTATGGCAAAAGAAAAAGAAATTTTAAATTTCATAAAAAGCTTTCCGTCATATGAGTCGCACTATACTCGGCGCGATGCCTCTAACCGTTATCTACCGAGGGATTTGTCTGTAGCTGAAATTCATCGCCTCTATGGAGATAAATGCGACCATTCCGTATTGCTTTCAAAATTTGCTCAACTGTTTGGAACACTTAATTCAAAATTTAAAAAACCTAAAGTTGACACCTGCCACAAATGTGAATTGCTTCAATGTAAAATACAAGTTGCCAAAACTTCAAAAAAAAAATTATAAGGAAAAATCTTTAAATGATACTACACTAAAAGTGTTTTGTTTTGATCTTCAGCAGTGCCTTCCTACACCTCTGTTGAGAACTTCACTGTCATTCTATAAAAGGTCATTATGGACCTTTAATCTTACGATGTATGACATTGCAACAAATCAACCAATATGCTACATGTGGCATGAAGCAATAGCCAAAAGAGGTGGAAACGAAATAGCTTCATGCGTATTCACTCATTTATTGGAATTAAATGCCAATGTAAATCATCAAGGCGTATTTAACAAGGTGGTGTTGGCCGTATATAAGTAAAAAATTACACTAACAAATTATACGCTGATGTCCATACTGTCATTGGTATGAGTTACAACAAACACATCATTTTGACGTAATGGCCTCCACGGCGAAAAACTCAGCTGTCGCCCCAACACCACCTTGTTTAATACACCTTGTAAATCATGTTTTTTCTACGGTGATTGCTGCCCGGGTCAAAATAAAAATTCCTTCATTGCAACTAAGTTTGCTGTTTTCATGCAATTAGAATTATAGATCATAAATTCATGGTCCCTGGTCACACTCACATGGAGTCCGATAGTGACTATGCTGCGATAGAGAAAAAGAAAACGAAATCTTCAATAAAAATCCATCATCCCCTTGATTGGTACCAATTCGTAAGAACAGTCGGAGTAAAGAAAAAAAATTTCGTTACTGAAATGGATCAATCGAATATATTAGATTTTGCACACG